GGGCTCGTACCCACCTTTCAGGAAGCGGGAAACCTCCTCCAGCTGAGGGATGTTGTTCTCATTGTAGCCACAGAATTTCTCCAGTAGACTGAAAGCTTCAAGGTACTCCTTGCAGGCATGGGTGGGGTACAAGCTCTTCAGGGTGCTGTATACCTCCTTCCTTCAGGAGGAGAGGTGGCAGACATTCAGTGGTTAATCTGTCCAGTCCTCTCCTGCACTCTGGCTATGCACTATCAGGGACTCATGTCTCTAGGCTCTGTGTCCTTTTGCCTTTCTCCACCTAAGTCTATATCTCTGCATATTGATAGAGGTATGTGAACATACAGACACACATTCAAATGAACCTACAAAGGCAGCAGCTGTGTCTGCACAGACCTGTTTCTCACTTAGAGGTCAGAAGACTGTATAAAAGGTATTAACTGGAATTAAAATATTCCCAGTAGGTTAATTCCTGAAGTTGCACTGTGAAGGCAGTCAATAGAACCAGGAGATGACCTTGTTGAGAAGCCTGTGTACTCAGGTCATATGAGCTGGCCTTGTTTTCAGAAACATTCCTGCAGCAACACTTCTGGAAAAATTCTTGTTCAAAGGGAGTGCTTTCCTAAGTGAGGCCCATGAGGCACCACACAGATATTCACCATGGGCCTTATACGTCCTGCAGCTGTGATGACTGCTCTTTGTTTGAGGCTGATACTGAGTCAGGAACCCTAGAGAGGTGGGACTCCAAATTATCTACCTTGGTCTGTCAGGAGGCTCCATTGGAGGAAAGTCCTGTTGGCTGCAGCATGAAAGTGTTTTTTACCACAAGCCATTGAGTAGGATGCTTGCACTCCTGACTTGCATTTTGATTGCATTTTTCAAGAGGTTGTGCCTTAAATGTTTGGGTGTTTATTTCCAGCTTCTAGTGGTGAAGCACTAATAGTGAAATCAGCACTAATAATGAAATCAGCACTAATAATGAAATCAGCACTCACCAGGTAGCTGTCTCCTCCGCTGTGTACTCCACGTGAGGGATCGGGTCCCCACTGCAAGGCAAAGGCACCATTACTGAGCAGAGCCCCCGCCAGGCTCCTCTTCCCTCTGAGAAGGAAGCACTTTGGAGAAGCTCTACATGACATTCAGCAACCTTCTTTAAAAACCAAACAAGGGGGTGATAGGAAAGGCAAAGCCTTAGTACTGGGTCACTTGCACAGGTGCAACAAATACATAGACACAAAGAAAAGCATGAATCTAGTCAGAGATTATGAATGAACAAGGGAAGAGCAAGAGTTTAGCAGGCATAATATTCACCAGGAAAAGAAATGGTTTTCACTGGAAAAATCAAAAAAACTTTGTGTGTGAAAATAAACTCATTTAATGTGTCTGAACTTCAGGGAGCTGATGGCTCCGAGAATGAACCAGTGGCTGGGAAACAAAAAAATAAAGAAAATTAAACACATTTGACCTGCAGGAAAATATATTGTCAGTAAGATTAAGGATGGCAGGAAAATTGATATAAATGGGTATTGATGAAAGAAGACTGACAATTTTGCTTTTTCTCATCATAGTTATTAATTTTATTTCCTGAATCTTTCTTTTTTGTGTTTGGACAAATGAGATATTCATATATTGTAAAACACAGTTCCTGAAGGGTTGCCTGAAGAATGCTACACAGTGGCTCATAAATGCTAACCTGCAGGTGAGATGTTAGAGAAGACCTCCTAAATTGGTGCCTCATCTTAGGGCAGAATTTATCCCTGTGTCACTTGGGACTCTTCCTCTGACACCATGACTTTCTGTGTATTTAGCATTTGAACAGGATAAAAACAACAGTGTCCATATTCTGGGCTTCAAAATGGCAGAGCACATGAAAACCAACAGCAGAAACCCTTTCTGGGATCACACCAGTTGCAGGGGTAGCTCAAACAGCTGACCCATATAATTTCTGTAGTCTGCTTTCAGCACTTAAAGTCCTGCTCAGAGAGAGAATTCTACAGTAAAAAGCAGTGGCACTGAATGGGATCTAGGGAATATTTTTCAAACCTAACTGAATTTTAGACTCTGTTTGATGTTGTAGTGAACACACTGAGTGCTATCACTGCATATATCAGAACAGAAGTATTAAGTAACAGTACAAAGCATAGTCTTAAATCTATGCAAGACGATGATGAAAACATTACTGGATTTTTTTTTTAATTTAGCAGAGTTAGGAGGTGAATCATTTAGCCTATAAATACCCTCATACCAAAAAAAAAAAAAGGTATGATAGCAATATTTTGTCTAGTGGATGAAAGGCATGTGTGCTACATTGGGTAATAGCTAAAGCTGTCGAAGTCTAGCTTAGAAATGAAACACACATTTTTTCATGACCAGGATAATGGACCCTTGGAACAAATTTTCTGGGCATGGGGCAGCTTTTTCAGTACTTGACACCCTGAAGTCAAAACTAGATGCCATTCTAAAGAGATGCTACATTTCCAAATGAAGTTTGAGGTCTGATAGATATATATCTGGCTTTTGTTATGCAGGAGGTTTATTCTTACTATACTCTTACCAATGTATGAATTAATGACAACAGATATTTTTTAGTTCAAGAGAGACTGGAATGTAAAGGGAGGAGACACAATGGAGCTGGAAAGGCTGTATGGGGAGACAAAACATAAAGGAAGAGAAATTGTGCTACCTGTATGGTAGCACATACAGGTAGCACAGTGACTTCCCAACAGGTTCATTGACACGTCATTATCCCCTCATGAATGTTAGGAAGGAGACTTACTGCTTATAGTGAAAAGCAATCTCTGCTATTGATTTCCTTCTCTGGCGATATACTTGGTCAGAGTAGCCCTGTGGTGACAAATGGGAACAGAGACAGGACTTTTAATCAGTTACTAAAGTTTCTCACCCAGGAAAATTCATCACTGGCTGGAGAGACATCTCTTAAGGCTGCAATGGCACTCCAGTCTCCTGATCAGCTGCACTAATAGGTGTTCTCAGCTCCCTGCTTCTGTGGGACAGCTCTGGAGTTCAGCGTGGAGGGTGCGCACACAGACTGACTCACCGGGTGATCCAGATCCAAGTCAGGGTCAAACTTGGTGACCAAATGGTGGCACTTGTCCAACTCACAGATTTTTCTGGGAAACCAGTGAACTACAGGGAGAGAGAAAGTGACAGTCTGACTGTGGAAGTGAAGATCCCCTGAAGAGAAGGGGGTCTGAGGCTGAGTAAAATACACCTGATCTGGTGTACCACATGCACACATACAAATGGCACAGCTACTTCTAGGCAGTAGTTTCACAATCTCAAGGCTCTTTCCCTAGATCATGTCTATTGACATGATCTCCAGTGCATGACTTCCTTGCCCATCTCTCAGCAGAGTTTTTTGTGACAAAATTAAAGAAGAAAAGAATTAAGTTTTACTGAATGATTTGTGTTAAAAAACACCCAGAGAAACTGCTGTTAATAGGTGTCTAGGGATATTTTCCTACAATATTATTCTACAATGATTATCCTATCTTCAGAACAGGATGGCACAGGAAATGTCTTGTAGATTAGTGCTGGAATCTGTACAGAGGTCCTAACATGTAGATAGGAAACTACCTTGCATTTATAATATAAAATGCTGGAGAAGGGATGGAGAGCTCATTAGGAGAGGTGTGAGCAAAGCATGAAATTCAACCACCTATTTATATTTATTTTCAATCTTTCACCAGAAGAATAGACTGTGAACAACGGAATCTATTGAGAACAGGACAAGGAGGGAAATTACTTTCAGGATTCGGGTATCCCAGAGGCAGTCCCTTCTGGTTTGCTCAAGTTCAGCACACAGCAGCCCTTTCCCTTTACTGGGATTAGCAGTCTCTACTCTGTTTCTACAGGGAGAGCTCAGCCTCTCTGCTCAAGTGAAAATGTTTGTAAGTTCCTTACATTTGTCTTCCTTAGTGGTCCTCACATCTTCTGCTACCCTCTTGATGGAGCTAATGAAGGTATTGAGGTCAGAGCTGTAGACTTCACAGCGCACAAAGTATTCCAGTTCAGCGGTCCCTTCACGGGGCTTTCGGCTAAGCCTGGTCTCCAGGTGGTGAATTTTAGCTTCAAATGTCTTTTGAGACATGGAAAGGAAGAAAAAAGAAAGCATTAAGCAAGATTTGAAACAGCTGCTACTACCAAAGATGTCTATATGGACACAGAACTATGGGATAGTTTGGGTTGGAAGGGACCTTAAACCCATCTCATTCCAACCTCCCTGCTATGGATAGGGACAACTTTCACTAGACCAGGTTGCTCAGAGTTCCATCCAACCAGACCTTTAGCACTCCCAGGGATGGGGCATCCACAACTCTGGACAACCTATTCCAGTGCCTCATCACCCTCAGGGTAAAGAACTTTTTCCTACTATCTGACCTAAACCTACTCTCTTTCGGTTTGAATCTATCCCCTCTGTCCTGACAATATGTGCTCTTGTAGAAAGTCTCTCTCTGTCTTTCCCCTAGACCCCCTTCAGTTATTAGGAGGTTGCAATTAGGTCACCAAGAAGCCTTCCCTTCTCCAGGATGAACAATCCCAGTCTGGGATGGATTCCTATATGTTGTTTTCTTCATGCCTCCACCTCCCTCCCGTAAAAACACACTTACCCATTGATTCCACATTTTTTTTCCTCCTGCACCAACACTGAGGCTGCTCAAAAACTACTAACAAAAGACTTCCACCATGGTGAAGAAGACCATAGAAGCAGTTGATGTGGCAAGGTGCCACGTTTCATTTTCCCGTCCCAGCCACTCCCGAGGTGTGTGATGGTGGGGTCTGTGATGGGTGGGGTGCGGGTCTGGCGGGGGGTCCCGCGAGGCTGGTGGGGTCCCGTGGGTCTGACCGGGTCCCGTGGGTCTGGCCGGGTCCCGTGGGTCTGGCCGGGTCCTATGGGTCTGACCGGGTCCCGTGGGTCTGACCGGGTCCCGTGGGTCTGACCGGGTCCCTGGGTCAGGCAGGGTCCCTGGGGCTGGCCGGGTCCCTGGGTCTGACCGGGTCCCTGGGTCTGGCCGGGTCCCGCGGGGCCGGCGCTGCCCGGGCGGGCCGCAGGAGCGGCGCTAGCCGTGGTGCTGAACGCCAGGGCTGCTGCGGCCCGCCCGCCCCAGCGCTCGTCTGGACTCGCTACCAGCGCCGGCGTCCTTTGGGCTCGCTATCAGAACTGACCTCCCCAGGGAACAAGGAGACAAAACGATGTCTGTAGTCTCCCAAAGGGCCCTGGTAGATCTGTGAGTATTTTCTTTAGCTCACTGAAAACTGGCAGTGCAAGCCCAAGGCCCTAGGCGATGACCCAACCGTCCCAAAGTTCCCGCAAGACCTTTGACAGAGGAAGGGACACGATTTCTTTTGTTAATCAGAGGAAAAAAGATGAGAAGGAACAGATGCGATGCCACAGGTAAATTAAATTTAGGGCGGTGTTTTTTAATGTACCTACCAACTTCACTATTATATTGTCCCCTCAACAATCGATACCTTTGCATTAATCTGACAGTCGTGATTGCATTACCTATGCTTCAGCTGCATGTAACACATACAGAAGAGTGAAACCAGCTTCCCTGCAGCCTGGTTCACGATGAGGCAAATGTCATTATGCCCGTCTGCTCTCATATCTTGTACCTGCATTGCCAGAGGGATCTGGGAAATGAATCTTCCTCTGTTGGGACTTGACATGCTTGTCTTTTTATTATATTTAAAGCTCTCTCTGTGACAAGCTCAAAGAGCTTTTTAGCTCCAGGAAGAAACAAACAATATTTGAACATAAGCTGCCGCAGCTTCTCACTTGGTGTTTTAAAAATTGTTTAAATTACAGAATTTGAACGCAGTATAACATAAAATCTACCAAGTACAAGAGCTTACACATCTGTTTCATACCCACTGAGCAGCTGTTGAATGTTACCTTGCTGGATTTGCCATTCTTTGACTGGCATCTGTGTGCTTCTGGGAAGGAGACCCCAGTCATCAAAACACATGGGTTTTGTTTGAAAAGTTTGTCATAAAGGTTCTTTCAGTCTTGAGACAAGAACTATATGTCCCCAGAAAACAGCTTTTCTTGCAACAGTCCTCGTAGAGGAATTGCATTTGCTGAAGATCTAAATGTTTTTCATAACATTATCAGAAGTAACACTAAATGGGCAATGAATAACTAGAATGACCTACAATTTCAAGGAAATACTTATCCCCCAAACACACCTTTGCTATGTTTACAGTTTTTAAGCAGCAGGTTTACATAGAGTACACAGCCCCAGACAACCTGCTGTGACTGAACCTGTTCTGAGCAGGCTGGACCAGAGACCTCCAGAGGCCCCTTACAAGCCATGTGACCGATTAATAGGAACAAATTGTCCTCTTCTCTCACTGCTGAAGTCAATGAAATTAAACTACCATAGATAAAACCTCAGTTTGCAAAACACTTTTGAATCATTTTGGATGGAAACACACTACATGAATGCAAGCTGTCATGCTTGAATTACTGTTTAAATAGGCAGCACTTATCTCAGTCTTTCCATTCATGGCACTGAGATCCTATATAATGAAACAGTACATTGGTGGCCAGGGGGAAAAAGCTCAGTTACCAGTTTTCCTTGGTATTAAAGGCATAGATGGGATGAATCTCTGAGGGGAACCAACAGAACCTTTAACATGTGAATTAGAATAATCTTTGAAGTAGAGAGATAATTTTGAAAACAATATGCTAGTTTTACACCCAGTGCAGAGTTGTTTCTGTAAATATTTGACTGAGGACCAGTGTGGTAATGACCCAGAAATGAGGTGAGTTTGGTCTGTAGACAGGCAGGGCACACAGCTTGCTTTGAATGTGGGATCTGAGTCCTGTGCAGCAGGAAGGGCTGTCAGAGTACACTACAAGCCATAAAGGTGTGGACTAGAGTGCAAAACTGAAAATAATGAAGAAAAATAAAGGCCAGAGCTTAACAGCACCGCAAGGCAGAGGTATGCCTTCCTCTTAGTGATGATAAGTGAGAACACACTGGGGCATGAGCAAACCTTGACTTCAGAGATATCAGAAAATTTACTGATAATATGACATAGGCAGACCAATGGTCTGAGTCTTCTTTGTTACACTCGAGTGATGCTTCTCACAGCCCAGTCATGAAACCTCAAGTGTGTTCCTTGAGTGCCACACAACAGGTTGGGTACTCACCTCAAATACCTTAAGGACACGGGACAGTGGTGAAGTCTTGGCTCCCTTGAGCATGAAGAAGAGGTTCAGCATGGCTCTCCCATCCTTCTCCTCAAACACAATGGTCTCTGTAGACTCTGCGGCATCAGTGGCTGCAGCCGCAGCCTCTCTTTCCTTCCTGGCATCTTCAATGAGGCTTTGACGTCTTCCAACGAACCGTGGAGACTGAGGGCAGAACAGAAATAAGTAACACTCCTCAGAGATGTAGGAGATCACAGGCATTCCCAGTACCTGGGATGAGATGTGATTGGTATGTGTCATGAGGAGTACCACTGGTATGTGGTATGAGGAAGCAGGGAAAGGCTGGACTGACTTGCCTGGCTTTGTAGAGGAAGATCTGCTCATGAGGACTGAGGTTTTAGAACTGAACTTTCAGAAATGTGGGGCTTTGGGAAAAAAAAACCCGAAAACCCAAACCTGTGTAAAATATCTTTCTAGCATAACTGGAGAGTGGGCTTCTCCCCTCACCTCCCCTAGCAACAATTTTCAATATCCTCCAAAAAAAAAACAAATCCAAAAAACAATCTTATGTGGTTTTCAGGTGTCTGATGAACTCAAGTGGAGAGACATTAGATAAACTTGAAGTTATCTGAGAAAAGATACTTTGTGAGGGACAGGTGAAGCCCACAGCTGTGGCCTGGCCAGGAAACATGAACTGTTTGCAGGTGTATTACTGAGGCAGCTTAGCAAAACTGCTCCCAGGATTCAATATGACATTTACTTTTGACATTAAATGGATGCTTATCCATTGAAGTGTAATTGAAACCACAACCATATACCCCAGAAAATAAATTCCTCCCACTTATCTGTAGATTTGTTTTGTCTCAACAAACTCCTGCAGATGTCTGTTACTTGGAATTGAACCTAAAATGTAACTCTGTGCCTGAGGTCATGTTAGGACACCTGTTTGTATTTATAGTGAAGTACAAACTATTTCAATCACTGCTGTTTCTTTTGTTATACAAATAGCTCTTATACCAACTTATTTGTTCTTGGTCTTTTAACAACCAGTTTTCTATTTTGAGGCAACCCATCTGGTTCCAGTTTTCTGTGTTCGAGACCCAAACCAGATGACAAACCTCCACAGCTTGCTAGAAGAAACCTGGGGCAGCACTGAAGAAGGATGTAGAGTGGGACTGGCTGCAGTTTGCCCTGTGATTACATTGAAGATATTCAGAAAAGAGATACATACTAACTAAGCAGTGCTTTCCCTACCTTGTTAAAATTAAGAGTGTTTTCCTTTTAAAAAGATAGCCTGATTGACTACTAAGTTTATTTTCTCTCTGATTTTCAAAGTCACTATCAGAAATTTATGTTTCCTGGGAGAATCCTCTTGGATGCTTTAGCAGTGTAAAGCTGACATTTTAAACACAGCCTCAAGAACTCAGCACATCGAGTCACCAGCCCATGCACCTCTATCTGGTGCTGTTTCAGTAAAGATACCCCTCTGAAATTACGTTTTCTGATCCACCCTTTATTCCTCAGGGCACAGAAAAACACCTTCTAACAAACAAGTGCATGCTGCCTAACTTGGTTTTTGTGCCAAGAGAGCAGACATCTAACAAGTGACCTCAGTCTTAACTTTAAAAATCTTGTGAGCGTGTGCTCGGCTTTAAGCGTGTGTTTTTTATCACTGCAGTGTTTTTAGCTCAGCTGGTGTTTACCTTAAAGTGCCTGCAATATGCAGGGCAAACAGCCCTGTGCCAGCCACAGAAAATGACCTCCACAGCCATCCCAAACCAGGCAGTGCCTTACTTAAGGGTGCTTTGTCACACTGTGCCCCAAGGCGCAGCAGGATTTTACTTCTGGTTTGGAGAAGGGGAGAGGAGGGAAATTAGACCTCGATATTTAAGCTGTAAATCAGGTTAAAATCCAGCTGGGTGGAGTTTAAAATGCCAGAGCTGGGTGACTGGAAAGCTGCACCAGGGGAAGCAGACTCAATCAGTCCCACACATGTGCTGTGGACCCTGGCAGGCAGGAGTGGGGGCTTCGGTCCCTGTCAAGGGGTCCTGGAAGTTTCTTAGCTGAATGATGGCATAGTTTAAGCAGGTAAATCGGAAAAAAAAAAAAAAAAAAAAAAAAAAAAAAAAAAAAAAAGAAGAAAAATTAAAACACAGCAGAAAAAGGCTGAATTTTGCTTGGGAGAAGAGGGCTGGGAGGGGTCTGCCTGCCTGCTGCCTCCTGTGCCAGGTGGAGGCTTCCTGGCTGCATGTGCCCCACCTCACTGTCCTCAACTCTGCCCCTCACATTTATGCTCATTGGGCTACTAACTCCATTTGCTGGAAATTAGGAATGTGGCATATATAATAACCAAACTGACCTCATGATAAATGCTTTCCTTCCTTCCAAAGGCACCATTATATGGTATTTCTGAATTGCTTTGCAGACTTGCTCCCTGAGTGCATATCTGGCTACAGTGAGAACTGTAATTTGATTTTGCAAAGCATTTGTTTTCCTAACCAGGGCCTGACCCATTCACCTCTTCTGAAGGCTAGTTTGCACCTCTTCTGAAGGGTTTTTTAATTATTCCTTCCTCGAGTTTGCTGCCCAGCCTGCATATTGTCGTTAAAAATGCTGTCTTCTAGCTATTTTGTTGATTTTTTCCCCGGCACATTATTTGCAGCAATCAGGAAGGGTTGTAAAGACTGGGGACATAAATGTCCCACTCCTGCTTTCCTGGGTGCTTTTTCTGCTTTTTTGGCTCCAATTGCTGTCTCCTGCCTGGCTTTGTAGCCAAACTCTGCCCCAGCTACAGTCACAGGGTCTCCTGCAAAAACTATTAGTAGCAGAAAAACTTACTATGTAACCAAAGATTTTTGTACGGGGTTTGATGTTTGGCTGGCCCAGCTGACACGTAAAATACCTTCTGGTGTAGAGGAGTTCTGGGGTTGCAAAGGTCTGGGTTTTCCCCCAGTTTGCAGTTTTCCCTGGCAAGGGAACACCTCAGACCTGCTGGAGGTGATGTGGTGGTGGGTGACGGCTGTGTGACAGATCACCCACAGTCACAGCACGAGGGCCAGGGACATGTGATGTCACACACAAATGCAGAGTCATGCCTCTTGCCTGGTAGAAGCCAGGGTTGTGGAGTTCTCCTGTGCTAGGTGAGAGCAAACAGAAAAGCTTTTCATGCATCCCACTCTCAGAGCGATCCTCACAGGGCAAAGTTTTAATTTTATTTGTTTTCCCTTTTCTGAAAATTTTCATTCAAAAACAAACACAGGCTAAGGTTTTATGTACCCTCCAGGCTGGAGGAGCCACTCGTCCCAAGCAGGTTGCCTCAGTCCTGTCAGCCCACCTGCTGAACCAGAATTCCCCTGGCCCCTATGCTCAGTGGCCCATTTTTTCTTAAAACACAGAGCAGCATCACAGAAGGTGTAATAACCAAACACTCTTCACTTCTCCAGACACTGAGCTTCTTAAATACTGGTTTTACAAGTTGCCTGGAAAATATCAGGTTTTCAAGGACCACTCAAGTGTTCATTATTTTGCCAGAATGAAAAGCACTGTGTGAGAGGGAAGCCTCCCCTGATTTCAATTTATTAGAGAAAGCAACCTCTTTTGTTTCCCAAATGTTTCCCTTCTTTTCTGCAAACTCCATTCTCCAAAACACCTTTCTGCCAATGTAGTGGTTGATTTTAGTAAGGCAGGGCATTGCACAGGGTTAAGAGGAGAGTGGGTGAAAAGGGAAACAGGTATAAGGGAGAGAAATGGGGAGGTCTAAAAAGTGACCTGTTGGAGTCAGACTGCAGATATCTGCCAAACATATCTGCTACCTAACCCATCTCTATTCCTAGCTTTCCTCCTGCCAAGCATGCCAAGGGGTCCCCTCCTGGTGCAGCCATTGCCACTGGCTGCTCTGACTCCTGCATTGTCACCTGCTGCCTATCCACATCTTTGCCCCAAAGGACCATCCAGTATTGGGAGTCTTCAAGCTCATCTTGCCTGGCAAGGCTTTGAAGTTAAGAGCTGAAATGTCCCTGTCCCTACAGCAAGTCTGATGTGTTGGCCAGGCTTGGCTTTCTACAGACACTTGACAGCTCAGGGGGAAGTTTTCCTCTCCCTTCCCTGACACATTCAGATCTGGTGTGTGCAGAAGCTTTCCCTGGGCTAAACACAGGGCTGAGAACACACCAAGGAAGACTGGGAACAGAAATGGGGGAAGGATGTTCTGGGAGATAAACTGAATACAGCAGCCATGAACAAACAAGTTAAACTGCCTGTGCCTTGTGTGCTGTCTGAAATGACAGCCCCCCTTTTTTTGTTATACTAGAACAGATGAAATCTCTGCAGTTTAATGCCTTTCAACCTGTAAATCCTTAAGGTCTTCAAATTGCCTTTTACAGGGGATTCCTTGCTATTCTTGCCTTAGGTCTGTGGGTTATTCATCTTACTTTTGGTTGAGGTGGTTTCATTATTTCAAGTTTTCACCCCCTTAAATGTTTTCATTTCACACGTATCAGTATGTAGAGAGAACTGTTGGAGTAATTTCCCTTTGCCAGTCTTGAGCCCGGATGTGCCCATGTCGGGGAAGTCCCACAAACAAAGTGTTGGTCCATCTATCCCTGCCTGCTTCTGCCTATAGCTGTGGAAGAGGCTGTGGTTTTTGGAGGGGGAGGAAAAGAAGTGGGGTAGGGTTGTCTTACCATGATGGCCTCGGCTTGCTTGGAGTCCAGCTCTGACACCGCCCTGCGGAAGCCTTTGGCTGCAGAGGTGGAGATGTTCGGGGTTGGCATCTTTGCTCTTCCACAAGCTCTGCTGTCTGCTTTTCAGCTCCTTGCCAGCTTTTTATAGGGCAGGGCTGACGTCAAAGACTCTTTCAAATCTTCTCTTCCCCTGCCACCTCCCCATCACCACCTCCCTCCTTTCTCCCCCTCGGGCTGAGAGGAGGAGGGGATGTGAAGGAGAGAAACGTGTCTGTCCCATTAAATCTAATCGCTACAAAGATTGCAGACACCCTGCCTTCACAGACCAGACAATCCCCCACCTGTTTGCCTGCATCCAAAAGATTTCTTCTCTAATTTACCCCTTCTCTCCTTTCCCCCTCCCCCCACTTCTGGATGGAGTTCACTCTCACTGCATGGTTCAGTCCGACACATTTACTTCCCCAGCCTGGGAATTGCATGAAAGGATTTTGATCTGTGAAAGGATGAAATAAAAGGAAGGGAGAGATTTAGCCCTCCCCAGTCTTTTTCCCCCCTTGTTTGCCTTGTCATGGAGGCAGTAAAGTAATAGGAAAATAACACGGATTCCCGCAAGGCAGCTGCGGGACTGGATGCTGTTCTCATGTGTGCATCTCCCGGTGCCCGGCTACTGACAACACTGTGCCTTCCAGGGCTCCCCCACCACCTCGGAGCTGGATTTGGCCATGTCACTCTGGCAGCAGGAGGGCAGAATCTGACTCCTCAGAAATGAAAAAGGCTTTAGAGGAAATAACCTGGGAAAACCCTCTCATTCCTGCCTTCTTAAGTGCTTTGCTCCTCTTGCAGTAATTCCTAAGAGACCAAATGCTCGAGTACAGCCGGGGCTGTGACAGTGTGCGACAGGTCAGACCCATCCCACAGTCTCTGCCCTGTTGTGAGTAAAACCGGCATTTTCCTCTGGTTAGATTTGCAGCAGCTGTGCCACACAAACAGGTGCTGCAGGAATGCATGGCCATGCTTTCTGTGAGCCACCTCCATCCTGGTGACAGGCCACTGGCAGGCACAAATCCCTGGGGCAGGGAAACTGGTGGCCTTTCACCAGCTGATTGCCCAATTGCTGGCTACGGCACTGACATCTGGTAGGGTTAGTGGCTCATCCTGCACTCTGCAGGACAGCTGAGTTCATCCCAGCCTGCTGATGACTTCTGCAGTGCCAAAAGCTGTGCAGGACCACCAACCCATTGGCTTCCTTGAGGGTGCAAAGCTGTTGATGTTTACCAAAACCAGGGAGCAAGTAGCGCGACCAACGCTGCCAGCCCCACCAAGGCAGCTTGGGAAGCTCATTGGTAGGAGCTGAAGCTGAAGTAAGCAGTTTGCAGCAGCTAAAGATTGGTGCAGTAGTGAGACAAAACTGATTTTAAGGCATGTGTAGTATCTTCTCCTATTGCAGATGCTGAGGGTGCTCTGCTGTTCAGCACAGTAAAAAGCAGAGGAAGGTGTTAAGCAACCATCATGGCTCATCTATCCCCAGCTTCTGTGTCCTCCCATGCGGTATCACCTCACATACTGACAACAGCCCTTGCTTTTGCTTTAATTTCATCCCTAATCCCCTCTGAGTCTCCTAAA